TTCGACAACCATTGGGTGAGCCAATTTTCCGATACTACGCCCCAAACGATTAATAAACATGCGAGATACAAAAGAATGGGTAGCACCGCTATCAAATATAACAACATCGGGCTTAAAATCTAGCAAATAAGTGGCTACCACTGTCGCTGTAATCACCGGCTCCTCCGTAGTCATTTGGTGAGCACGACCTCGTGTCACCATAGTGGGTCCCTTAGAGGACGATGCAATTGCAGGATTTGTACCCCCGTCTCCTTTACCAGTCTTCAACTTCAGGCATTCGGGCTTCTTGTGTCCCGTCTCGTTGCAGTGATAGCAGACGGGAACTGCAAAAGTAATATCAGGTGCTGCACTTGCAGGGGGGATCCCTACAATTCTTCCAATGATGCCCTGGCTTTTTGCAGTTGTAGCATATCAACGGATTTTTCTCGCCCTGAAGACGTCCTATACTCATACCTTGAATTACTACCCTGCTTTCGCTTTTTCTGGGCATCTCTGGATGTCTTGGAAGAGGTGTCATTGGCCTTCCTCTTGGACTGGGTCTGCAACTCGATTTCCCTCCTCCTCGCTGCATTCATGATCGCGGATAAGGTCGAGAACTCCTGCATGCTAACGAATTCCCGAATCTCGGTACGTAGGATGGCCATGTACCGGCTGACCAACCAGGCCTCGTTCCCAGCAAACGAGGGGCAAAAAGATAGCATCTCCAAGAACTTGGCGTTCAGGTCGCTAACGGACTCGGTAGTCTGCTGTAAGGCCATGAACTCTTGCTGTATCCGCTGCTGCTCCACCTTAGGCACATATTGTGCCTCGAACCTCTCCACAAATTGGGCCCAAGACATGGCCCTCACTTCTTCTTCGCTTAATAGAGCGGTGATGGTGTTCCACCATGTCTTTCCCCTTTTCCACAGCTGATTCATGGCGATCACAACTTTGTACTGGTCCAGACACCCAACAGTCATGAAGGCGCCCTCAACATCTGACACCCAGTGCTTAGCAGCAACTGGGTCGGATTCACCGTTCCAAAGAGGAGGGCTACACTTGCTGAACTTCTCGAAGTAGTATGCCGAATCCCGAACAGGCGTAGCCGGTAACGCTCCCCCGGGAATAGCTGCGAGGCGCTCATCCAGAAGAGCACCGACTTGGTTGATTATGTCATTGGTCACACCCGGGATTAGTTCGTTGAAGGCATTATTGAATTCCTCAGCGACAATATCCCTAACTTGCTCCATTTGGAGCTGATTAAGTCGAGCAGGCGGAGCCATTGGTATCCGCAGAAGAAGGAAAATCTTAGAAACAATTCAGCCTAGATATTTCTAGGAAGACAAAACACTCAGCTTGCCGAAAATTTTTCAACCTTGCCCCGACCTGAAACCGGCACCGATGTTTCAAATAGTAGGGGCCCTTCTACTACCTTCCACACAAGTTCCAATTTCGCATTCGCGTCTAGTTTCAAAATTTCCAGTTCGCTCTAGCCATTAATTTTACAACTCTCTCACATGTTAACACTAAATAAGTGTGTAATCTAACATTTTAAGACTAGTAGAATCCAATTCATAGTCAACAATTTAACATAAACATTTAACATAAGAAATAAGGCTTACTTGGCTGGCTGACTGGCACACCGCGACATCTTCCACTACTAGTCTTCAGAAGGTTTGAAAAATATTTTAAAAAGAAAATAAACTCTTATAGAGCCTCAAATTTGAGTCTAGAACATCCACAAGAAAGCCTAGTTCCCTCAAACCTGGCTCTGATACCAACTTGTTACACCCAAATTTTTGCAAAAATTTTAAACTTTTAAACACGCATCTTAAATTAAATTAAAACAACTGAAATAGTCATAACATAATCCATCAACTTAATAATCATATAAAATAAGTGCGGAAGTAATAATAATAATAATAAGGTCCCAACAAAAATAACTACTAGCGATGTCCCGGTGCTCCATGTTAAGCCTTAGCCTCTTTAATCTTAACACCTGTAAAGTTATAAGGGAAAACGTAAACACAAAGCTTAGCGGATTCAAACACAGACATTGTACTAACATTCATATTTAATAACCCTAATCCATTTTCCATTTATAATTATATGATAAGGGCAAAGAACGAATCAATGCCTATAATACAAGAAGGACTTGTAGGTTTGAACCGCACCGGGAAGATCCCGTATCATTTGGCCCTAATCACCGCACCTCATGATGAGTATTACGTTGGTGATATTACCTACCCACCGCACTGGTAAATCCGTATCCTTTGGTGGTGTCCCCATATCCATATTTAGTTACATACAGTGCACATGTACGAATTAAAACAATGGTTATATAGCATGCCTTTATAATAAATTCAAATAATCACACACGAGCTAACTAGCAAACGCAAACATCAATACAACGGTGTGAGAGAACTCACCTTGAGTGAGTAGTAAGGATAGCTAACAATCAAATACTGCTACCAAGCTTGAGCAAACTTCAAAACCTCACCTAAGAAGGACTAAAGGTTAGAAAGGAGAAGTAATGAAGCTATGAGTTGAGAAAAGAGTAATCACAGCAAGGTCTCTAAAACAGACCTGCTGTTCAAAACGGATTTACTCCAAAATATAAAACAGAAACATAGCATTAACAAAATTTTATAGGAAAATATGATTGTTCAGGATTCCAGAACTATAAATAACTCCTTCTAACTCCAAAAGATGAATTAAATATGAATTTTACAAAATGGTGTATCACTTCTGTCTCCAACAATACAGTCAAGTGATGTTGGCCAATTCTACCCAACTTGTGAGTAGAAATAGTCCAAACCAAAATTCATAGAAGTAAAGGACATACAAATGAAAGTCTCAGAGTTGGAATTGAATGAAAAACATCTCCCAAACTCCAGATATAAAATTCACATTGTGGACAATCACAGCACTAGCAAAAGCTGGTGACTGCCCACTGATCTGGAGTGTGGATCCATTCTAACCAATTTATAATTGGAAATAACACCCCATCTGCTCCATATCTTAAATTCATAATATAAGGAACATATAGAAACTTGGAATCACTCTGGATCCTTTTCCAAGCCTTAGAAATGATGAAAACAAAATGACATATCAGAACAGACCCGGATCAGACCTAACAGCAAAGATGCCATTCTTTCCCATAGATAAAGTCCTTATCAGTGAGGTTGGCCTGCTTACGAAAGTTAGCCAACTCAATTTGTGAACTTTTGGAACTGGTTTGGGGTCCGTTTGAGTTCTAGAGCTCAAGATATGAATTTTACGAAATGACTACAGATCTGATGGAAAACAGAATCGTAGCCACCCGTGATTCCTTTTTGGCTTATCCATCCTTCTCCCTTTGAAACACATTTTAAGATGTGTTCATCATCCCAATTTAGTCCCCATGATCATGGTGGTACTAAAAAGGGTTAGGTATCATTAGGATTTCATTTTGCCACAAGATTGTAATAATAATCAACATGAAAATGAACATAAAGCACATAAAATCACCATTCTCCCTTTTAGGGTTTCCATGATCTTTTGCCACATGTAATCCCCTAGATCCATCATCCACCATATATGGGGTGAAGATAGGATCTTGAGATGATGTATAACATACAATTACAAATCAAATAGGAAGGAGAAGAAGTGAAGATGAAATCATAAAACTAGAACAAGGTTATGAATCAAGTTGTAAGAAATGATAAGGAGGTTCATACCAATACGAATCAAGGCTGGAAATGAACAAGAATTAAGCTCCAAACAACAGCCCCTTGGCTGCTCTTGATCCCAAAGAGAGAGAGAACGATTTGAGAGAGAGATGGAGGGTTTAGAGTGTTTTTCTTGTGTGTGTTCCAAATGACTCAATTAACACATTAAGTACTATTTACTAGATGAACTTGCAAATAGGCCCATAGGCCATGGACTTCAATAAAAGGAGTTTACAAGATGATCAAAAGAGTCCAATAAGATAAGAAAATCAGACATTGGTTAAATAAATTAACCCAAGGTTACAAGAATAATTAAATTAAAATAACTAAACGTACCGAGAAAAACCGGGGCGTTACACTGTATGGATCTTTTGTTTTAGCTAAAGAAAGTGCCACATTAACAATAAAAATGGGCTATAACAAGTCATGGTCCTTTTTAGAAGGTAATATAGACTTTAAGCCCTTAGAAAACTAATAAAAAATGAAAAAGAAAGAAACATAACATAAGGAACTTTTTATAGGAACGAAATGTTTATTTTCAAAGTGTAGGTGTCAAAACGAAGTGTTTGTATTTACACCTAATTTGAGTTTTGTATATCTCACGAGGGAAATCGGCGAGAGCTCAGTTGCAACTATTGAAATGGCGGAAGGACAAAAACTTAAAATTGCCCCAAAACGAATAAAGTTTGATGAAATTATGGAGGAGGTGGAAGAAGATCGAATCAGTCTGTTACTAGATTGCTTGCTTCTTGAATTCCTCTCTCGTTTACCTTCTACAAAATGCGTGATAAGAACAGGTACACTCTCAAAACGATGGGAACATGTATGGACTTGTCAATGCTGAACGAAATGTTGGTAATCAATCCGGTTCGGATTTCGTTTTGATGGTCAGCAAAACCCTAGCTCAATGTCGCCAATTGAAGCTCAAGAAATTCAGAGTGCACACCACTTATGATATTCCGATTAGAATCACAACTCAACAGTTGGATTCATTATGCTATAAGTTGCAACATTGAAGAGTTTAATTTAACGTTTTCGAATTTGAAATTGGGAATTAAGTCTCTGTTAGATGAATTCTTCTTCACCAATTCATGTTTAGTGATATCACATTAGTAGGCTGCATATTTGATCTAACTGGAGCGATTACTTGGAAAAATCTTTGGAGTTTGCATATTTCCTATGGATATTTGAATGAAGAACTGATCGAAATCATATTATTAGGAAAAATATTCAAAGTTGATTCAAACTATAAACAAAAAGCGAACAGAAGTTTCTTTTATTCATAAAAAATATATATAACTTAGTCATCTTCATGGTTTCACATATACAGGATACAGTGATAGTTTAATAAACATTGCTTCAATAAGAATCGACTGTAATTGTACACAACATACATTAGTCTTTACAAATTACAAACAAAAATTGCCTCCAACCTCTATCTTTCATCTTCTTCTCTTTCATCATTAACACAAGTCAAACACTCAAAGCTCATCATCCTATTATGAAGCTGCCTTTTCTAACTTCACCTAAAACACCACCAAGTAAACCAAATTCATCAAGAAACCAAATAAATCCCACACTTTTTATGAATATCCATCAAGAACCAACAAGTTTGTACCTTTTTAAGATACTTTTTGTGAAGTTTCATAGCCCCCGAGCAAGATTTCTTAGCATCCAAATTCCCAGAAGTGTCATTCAATATCTGCCAAAAAAGATGAAACAATCAAGAAACACATCATCATGAATATGTTGAAGGAAACTTTTGCGTTCTTAACACTTTTAAAAAAGAAAAGGTTTGACCTTAACAACATCATCGAGTCCCTTGGCTTTTGTGAGCAATTTGACACTTTTCTCCTTGAGTACACTTGCAACAAGAAACACAGAAATGGGGAGAGTTTCTTCATCTTTGGCCCCACTTCTCAAAATTTCTCTTTCAAATTTGCCACATTGACGTGATGATTTTGGATTTTCTTTAGCATCTTCAGGTCTATCAGAATCAGGTTCCTCATATAAATTGTAAAGATCAGGATCATACTCCAAAGCCCACATCATCTGTTTCAAATTCATTAATATTAATCAACAAAAAAAAACAAGATTTTTAAATGAACATTAAGTCATGTATTGAGTAAAGTGGCATTAATCAACAAAAAAAAAACAAGATTTTTAAATGAACATTAAGTCATGTATTGAGTAAAGTGGCTGAATGAGTAAAGTGTCGTATAAATGAGACTAAAGAATCTTTTCAAAAAGGTTAAAGTTTGGTGTCTCTTTATAAGGTTATTATTATTATTATTTATTTCCTCCCATAGATACAAAGAATCACCAAAAGTAAGTTCTCTTCTGAACAACACCATAAGCATTCTGAATGCGAATAAATAATCACCACCACCTAGGTGATCTGCATTCGTGTTAATATTAGTTGAGCATTTTTATTATTATTAAAAAAAATGTAAAAAAGTTATTAAGAAAGTACCCAAGTGTTGATGAAGTTTAGGGTCAACAACTTGAATAACATTTGCTAAATTGCAAAGTTGTGACTCAACCCCAACAGATGCCCCTACACATTTGAAATTCCCTTTCTTCAAACCCATAAATGAAATCACATTTAATTTCTTGAAATACAATCATTAAGTCATTACTCATAGCTTTAGAAATGATAATATATAATAATGAATATATATATATATATATATATATATATATATATATATATATATATATATATATATATATATATATATATATAAATACCAATCTACGCATTAAACGTTCAAAGCACCAAAATGCATCTGCTTCATCTTCAAGAAACATAATCATAGGAGAACAAAGATCACTCATTCTTGTTTCATACGTTTACAAAACATACAAATCATAATCAGAATCTGACACATACCATTTTCAAAAGGGTGTTACAAAATATAATAATAATAATAATAATATTAAACCTTTAAGAAAAAGAAGATTTTTAAATGATTAAATCAACATCCACCTTGACCATAACCGACTTCTTTATCAAACCAAGCATACACCGAAAGAACATCCCACAATTTTGACAAATTATCATGCTTTTCATAAAACACAAGTGTCCTATCTGTTCGAACCACATCAAGACCTATCATAAATAGTAAAATCCAAAGATAAAAAACGCTACATTATAATGATTAAACAACGTTGAAACTTGAAAAATGAAATGATTTTAAAACATGTACATGACAGAATCTTTATATATCAACCTATTTGTCGTAGGGTAAGTTTCCATTGGATTATCTTATTGTCTTCTTCCTTTGGGACAGATATTTCTTTGCCTGAATTGACTACAATATATGAAATGTATGCGTTAGTAAAAGTGTAAAACCATTTAAACAACTATTAATTTGTGACATTTGTCAAAAGGGGAAAAAAGATTACTTGTTGCTTGAGTTGTTGGTGTCATAAGTTTCTCAGGGTTTGCTTCTAGAAGCACTATTGGATCTTGAGTTGGGGTTCCATCTTCTGTTATCACAGGAGCAGTTATAAACTTGCCACTTCCAACAAGTGGAAACATGTATGTGAATAGTTCTTTTAGTCTTCCATATTATTCTCTAAAATCATAAAAACGAATAAATATATATAAGTCATCATTTAAAAAAAAGAATTGTAAAGAAGAGAAAATACTTAAATACCTTCTTGTTAGGCGTATTTCTTTTCTTTCCTCATATGTACTCTTGGGATCAAAACAACCGAGTAAAAATTCTCATACTTCTCCTCTAATCGTTGGATGTATCCCCTGATTCATCAACTATTCAACAAAAAAATGTCAAATTAAGTACAAATTTAATAAAAATTCCAAATTTACATTAGTAATTTGGTTGGGAAAATAAAAACGTACACCACGATAAATTCGACCAAGGGTTTAGCCTATATCAAGATGACCTTCTGGATTGAATGTTGATTGCCACTTCCTTACACTAAGAGTCTTCCCCGACTAGATAAACATTTTACGAATTAGAAGCCTTAAAAAGAATCCATTTAAAACGTTAGGATAAATCAAATTCCAATTTGTAATTTTAAACATGTTCATCATCTTCCTCGTAGATCCAACACGAAGAAAAGAACTTTTAGCAAACAGTGAAATTGATTGGTATATATATATACATATGATTATAGAAGAGAGATGGGTTTACCTTGATTTTAAATTTGGTTTTAGGAACGTCGGTGCATTCAGCTCGAACTTCATAGAATGAATCTGTCGGAAGCCCTGGGTCTTTCCACAATATATTCATCCTCTCTTGTTAACTTATTTCTTCAAAACAAAACTTGAAACTCGTGAATTTTTTCTTTTTGTTCTTTGAATCGATCCAATTGATTCAAGAATGGTACACCCCGAACCCTAAAACACCTGACGAAACACAACCCAAATGAGATCTTGGTGGGAATACCCAAAGCGACAAACTTTTTTTCTTGTTTTCTCTTCCTTTTCGTTATCAATTATGGGGTTTGTTTGTCTGTTTTTTCTCTTTGTCGATTTGAGCGGAGTTGGGTATATGTTCTTCGTTCTGGATGGGTGGAGGCGGCGGCGGTGGTGGTGTTGGTGGTCGGATGGTGGTGGTAAAATGAGCGGAGTTACCGTATTTTCTGATCTGCTAAAGCTTTTTCCGAGAAGAACGCCATTATTCTGAAATAATTGCACGATTTTACTTCTTCTGTGTCGAGTTGTGGAGCGCAAAAGACGTGAGAATGTGGGATCGAGGAATGTGAGGTCCGGCCGCCGTGTTTCGCGGGGAGGACTCGTTCAGTCGTTCGTCGCATCTCATTGTATTAAAGCTGCGGAAAATCGATGGAGACAAGAATGTCGGAGGAGGAAATGAGTGTTTTGATCGCACGCTCCTGTGGGCGCGTGTTTGATGTGAGGAGTTTGAGCATGAGTCGTTTAGTTGACCCATTCATAAAAGGTGCCTTCGTCTTCATCCACTAGACGACCAATAAAATTTTATTATTTTAAAGACAAAATTATATAAATGATTTATATGGTTTATAAAATTTCAGTTTCGTTATTTATTTTATATTTTTTTACGAACATATCATGATTTCTAATTAAATCTTCTATTTTATTTTATCTTTTCTTTTAACTAAAACTATTTAAAATAAAATATATTTATATCTATATTTATATTATCTTATAAAAGAAATCTAATTATTTCTATAAATAATTTAAATATTATAATAATATATTTTTAAGATGTTTAAACTATTAAATTGATAGTATAAGTAATCAATAATAAAATAATATTATTTTTCAAATATTTCTAACTTTTAGGTTGAAATTACAATTACATGATGCATGATTTTTTTTATCTTTTATTGACTTTTGATCCGTAAGTTTAATCCCATGTTGAGCTTATATCTCGGCTATAATTATTCTATTATGGCCCATCTTTTCCGTCGCTGAACTTTTCTACTTTCCCCTACTTCAAATGTTGATCGAATGTAAGATTACAGTTCTTCCTCTTACAACCCTAGACTACCACTTCGTCTAGATCATTGCACCCAAATAACCAGATGTTTCCCCCCTCCACCAATGTGCCACCATTATGTCTCCGTCCTCGTACCATTCTCGTACAAACACCAACAACAGTCATACGAAGTTACCAAACTGTCGTCTCCTGTTTTCATCGTTGCAGCGCTACATCTCTATCAAACTTTCTCCCTCTCAAAATCAATAATGTTTCACTTTCAGTTACTACTCTATATCTTCTGTATGCATAATTATATTATTTATTCTTTCCTTTTGATGAGGTTTCAAATGGTAGTTGGAACATATGGTTTTGATTTGCTGATTTCTTCCTTTTAAGATTGATTATAGAATTTGAATTCTGCAAAATCGATTTCATTTTCTGAATTTCTGAATTCTGCAAAATGGAGATATGAGCATGGTTTATCCATGTGTGTGTTGTGTGCTAGGGGCCAACAGGAGGATATTCGATTTATACTAGGTCATATTTTTTTTTGTTCCAGAACAAGAAGGCTAGAAGAACAAACCCAGAACTCGGCACATCCCTCTCTCTCAATCAGATATGAATATTTCGTGAGAATGTGGGACCCATGTGTTCAAACAGACTTAACATGAAGGTTTGATGCAAATTATGATTCAAGCTGTGCATTTTTAATATCTCCCGGGAATGTAAGTTTCATTGATTGTTGGTTGTGATTGTTTTTAATGTAGATTTCAAGGTTTCAAGTGTGGGATCTTCTCTTCCTCCAGTCACTGGATTCATGATGATATTAATGTTAAAGCAATAAGGGGGAAAGATACCTATAGAGTGTAAGTTTTGAAAATTTTTGATTTAATAATACTGCTTCTTTTGACATTTTGACGCTATTAAATGTTCGGTTTTATGTAGACTATTAGGTAGAACGAAAGAGATAGATATGTAAAAGATGTTAATTTGAGTAGTGAAAGAGAGTGATATGTAAAAGATTTTTGTGCTATTAAATGTTGAGTTTTATATACACGTACAATGTTTAGTTGGGAACTGTGACATGATGTAATGAAAGAGAGTGATATGTAAAAGATTTTTGTACCATTCATATGTTTTATAGCAGGTTGCAACTATAGACCCAACACCAGTTAACCAACGTAACAATCAACCCACAAGATGCAGGGGTAAAGTGGTTTAAACTCCAAACCAAACACTCCAAAAGAATTAGGCAGTAGTAGCAGGAAGATAAATGCTTGAATAATTCATATGCATCATCCATAAGGCAACTAAAACCAAACCATTAAGGGTAGAATGGTCAAACAAGAAAAATTCTCCCACTAGCCAATCTTGAATCAGAAAGCACCATATCAAGTATAAACATAAGAAATCTGGATGAAACCTTCAGATGAATGCACCAAACATCGCCACCTGAAAAAGCCATGCAAGGCTAAAATGGTCATAGTATTGGAAAAAGCTTCAACCAAATCACTCCCCACATCAGGAACAATCAAATATGGTTAATCTGGTGCAAGAGTCCAAAATCAATTATATAAGTCATTAGTTGCATTTACTTTTCTGTTGAATTTTTCATAACCATATTTATGAATATTGTATAACTATAGCCAATTCCCCACATTTACTTATTTTTTGCATTTACTCTTCTGTTATGTTCTTTGATCTTACAGTTGAAGTGGTAACATGTTGCATGTGGGCTTGATCTGGTATCAAAAAGTTGGCTACATAGGAAACAAAATAGACATACAGCCATACTCATAAATATACTTTTGTTATGATCCCTATTACTTTTTATTTACATTTAAAAGTATTGATTTCAAAAATAAAGCTAAAACTTCTTAATGTATGGATATTTTATTATATTTCACATATATCATTTTGTGTGTTAGTTGACCAATGCAAATTCAAGATATATGATTGTTTTTTATAAGTTTCTAAAATACATTTATTTTATATTGGTATATTCATATTCTTAGTTAATTTTGTTAAGAACCTTCTATTCGTTACAGTTAAAAGATATAATTTTTAAAAGATCACAAAGTTTGTTAAAAGTTATTCACCATTTGTAAAGTTTTTTAAATATGTATATTCTAATTTGAGGATTTTATTTGTTTTATTTGTTAAGCTCATAAAATGATGAACGTTGCACTAAATGGAAAACTTTGAGTTTCTATTACTTATTACAAAAAGATGATGTCAAAGATGTATAAACAATATCGTCATAAAACCCCGAAATATTGATTCATGAACTCTGATGGAGAAATAAAATCAAAGAAACTTTAAAGAATGGATAAAAAAAATAATCTTATGTTTAAAATACTAAAATTATTTTTTTAACCGACAAATCTAATCTACTTCTAAGCTAACACCTAATTCCATATATGTCAACGACGAGACTTGAACATATTGTAGTCAAAACAAATTAATGAAATACATAAGCTATAAACCTATCAATAAAAAAAGTATCTTGAAAATAGTCTATATAGGCTAAAAGAACTCAAGTGTTTTTTGTCGAGTCATTTTTATCCAAGATAATGAGAATTATCTCTGATGATTTGAATAACATTTGATGTTTATGTTCTTCCTATAGGTTACCCTTAATAATAAATGAATATTTGGTGAGGGATCATGGTACTGTCCCGGGGATCCCCACCGAAGATGGCATGAGAAGCAATTATGAGAAGCAATTAAGTCATACGTAAAGATTGATGTTGGAAGAATATACGCCTAAGGGTATCAATGACATTGCTATAGGTGTATACACAAATGTGGTGTTTAGAGAAGTGTTGCACGATTAATAATACACAATCATCACTCTTGTGTTCATGTACATTAAAAAGAATCATAAATTTTCATTTTTAATTCTTATTGATTTCGTTTATGTTAGCAAAAGAGCTAACACTTCTAAAATCTAATTTCTGAAAAAAGTATTCGCACCCGTCGCTTGGCGCGGGTAAACGGATAATATATATATATATATATATATATATATATATATATATATATATATATATATATATATATATATATATATAACGCCCGCAGATTCGAGCCAGTCAATTTAGAGACAATAAACATCAAAAATGACTTTTTGATAGAAGATTATTTAGAATAAATAATCTTAACCAAGTTATAGTATATGTCACAAGGGTTCCGTACATATAAAGAACGTTGAAATTCGAGTTATAACGAAGAAGTTATGACATGTCGAAGTTTCGCAACAAAACCAGCACGATACTGTGTGATGTAAAAAGTGAGTTTGCGATAAAATACTTTTTAGCCTTAACGATCTAAACGAAAGTCGTAGTATATGTTAAACCGAGAGCATGCAAAAACTAACGTCCAAATCTGACTTCGTATGAGGAAGTTATAATTTTCCAAGATTTAGCATAGCAGTACACAACCCGGAATTCGAATTTTAGATTGACCAACTTTTAGCCGACAGAATCTGAACGAGAATCGAAGATCTCGTTAATAGGAGCTCAACAATAAAAAGACAGGTTAAAACGGACGTCGGATGACAAAGTTATGAATTTTTAACGGACTTTACCTATCTAGGCCCGTTAAAATATAACTTTAAATATAAATCAAAATTAGCCGACGAAGTCTAAACGAAAGTTGTAAAGAACGTCGAAAACAGAGCTCGTATGCGAAAGTTACGGAATTTAAAAGTCGGGAGGGTGCTGTTACGAAGAGGGTGATGTGGCAAAATCTGGACCCTTGCTTGCATAACACGACCTTGCATTCGGATTGCAATATGTGCCCCTCGTACGCGCCACGTAGCCCTTGTAGACACAGCGTACCGGGAACACACATCGTCCCTCCGAGGAATGCCCTACGTACCGAGGATCAGCCCCCTATAAATACCATGCGAAGGCTGCCATAAAATCTCACACCATAACCCTTCTCTCTCTCTCTCTCTAACTTCTCTCTAAACCTCTCTCAAGCCTTAGTACTTCCCAAGTGCTAAGAGGCGAGTCCCAGAGCGCCAGATGCCTTCGAGCATAAGAGCTTCTCGGCTCGGAAGTTCTGCCCTCGTAGAGCCCGGTTCCTAGCCAAACCTCCCAGTAAGTGAGTTATACTTACCCTACTTTAAGTATAGCTTATGTTTAAGTTTATTATCGTCATTTTGAACTTAGAAACAATATATATATATATATATATATATATATATATATATATATATATATATATATTATAAAATATAATATATAAATTGTTATTATGTAACGCCCGGTTCCTGGTATGTAATTTAAATAAGAATTATTCATATTTGCAAAGGGACTCGATGAGTTGGCGGCCCCAACTCGTCGAGTAGGGATTTGATACGTTGGACACAGGACTTGAAGTCTACTCGACGAGTCAAGGAGCCTCGACTCGACGGGTAGGTCTACCAGAGTGAAACCCTAATTTTCAGGGTTTGCACCCTATTTAAAGGCCTTATCACCCCATTTTGGCTTCCCTCGTCGCCTCCCTTAGTCCAGAAAACCCTAATTCGAAACCCTAACCCATTTTGAGTGTTCTTGAGCCATTGTTGTGTGGTTTTGGTGGTTTTGAAGCTTGAGAAGGAAGAAGAAGTTTGGGAGGTCAAGAGGAAGCAAGTAGAACCAGAGGTTGTGTTCCATTTCCAGCTCATTTGAGGTATAAAGTTTATACCTTGTCCGTTCATCTATTAGATCTTTTTTTGGAGTAGTTTAGGGCTTTAAGGAGCCATTTTTGGAACCATTCATGGATGCAAGCATGTTTTGGGGTTTTGACTTCATATCTAGGGTCCTTGAGGGACTCCATGGCATAAAGGTGCCAACTTTATGGCCATGGGAGTCCCATGCATCCTATGAGCCACTTTTTAGGGCTTTTTGAGCTAAATAGCCCATGCATGAGCATAAAGTTTGTAACTTTACGTGTTATATCGACCCTAGGAGGCCAGATCTATGTTTTTGATGCGTTAAGCCCGACTGAAATCGACTGGATAGATTTGGATCATGGGGGACTTGACGAGTCGTTCTCAGGACTCGATGAGTTGGGTCGTGGTTCCCCAACCTTCTCTGTTACTTAGCAAACTTGTTGAGTCTAGAAGATGATTCAGCCAGTTAGACGTGTTTGTGGACTTAAAGGTCAGGAATTCGACGAGTCCAAGGATGAAATCGGCGAGTCAATGAACAAATGTCCCGACTGTATGAAAGAGAACTCAACGAGTTCAAGGAAGGACTCGACGAGTTCAACTGGAAAGTCCCGATTCTGTAGTAAGGAGAAACTCGGCGAGTTAGAGGGTAACTAGATGAGTTAGATCGCGAGTTCGAGATTCTTTGAATTATGGAACTAGACGAGTTGATGGACCAAATCGACGAGTTGAGTTGACCAGGGTGTTGATTTTGACCTTGACCATTGACTAGAGTTGACCCTTAAAGGGGTTATAAGTTTGAAAGAGTAATTAATTAAAAGAGATGTCATGTGTAGGAGTTTGAGGAGATTTGATCCCAGCATCGCGGACAGTTCAGTTACTACACGACATTGAGGTGAGTTACCTCCCAGTAGAAGTGGGTCTAAGGCTACAATGCCGGCCCACTAGTAGGATTTGTTTGTCAGATAATTGTCTTTGTGATAGTTATTTGGGTTTGCCACTATCTGTTATGTTTTATGTGCTAGCCTGGTATGATGTTATGTGATAGTAGTAGTAGGGGGAATAGTCCCCGTATCAGGTCGAAAGGACAAAAGGGGTAGGTCGGCACCCCGGTATGCCTGACAGTATGTTTATGTTATGTTGTTATGTGTTAGTGGTAGGGGTGAAATAGTCCCCGCAACCGGTTGAGATACACCGGAGGGTAGGTCGGGCACCCAGATGTGCCTGACATGGGGTAGTGATGCGTGCAATCAGCCGAGCTCAAGTAAGTTTGAAAAGAACAAGGTGTGTGATGCGTGCAATCATCCGAGCTCAAGTAAGTTTTCCCCAAGATACCCATACATG